GACGGAACTACCATCGCGTCACTGTCCTTCCGGAGACGCCCGTAGACGTTGACCGGTGTCTGCATTCCATAGAGGAGGCGATATCCCGGGCCAGGGTACAACACGTGCCAGTATCCAGACAGGTGAGCAATACTCTGAACCTTGACAGATCTACCAAAGACCTTATAAGACTCCGTAACACCATCCGAAGGCAGTACCAACGCTCTGGTCTACCTGTCCTTAAAACCCACTGTAATCGCCCAAAAACCATCCAAGCCAGGATGGTGGACCTCAGAAATCAGGACTTTGCTTACAGGATCCGCTCTCTCCCAGATTGTGCAAAGCCTTTTTGGAAACTTATCAAAATTCTTAAAAATAAGCCAAGACCCATTCCACCACTGACCCCACTGGATAGTCCCGGCGACCCAGTGGTTCATCTGATAACTCCTGAAGAGAAGGCTGCCGCGATAGGTCAACACTTCGTCAGCTCTTATAACCTCGGACAAAACATCGTCAGCTCTCACGAAGCTGAGGTTGCTGAAAACGCAACCAACCTCCATCAGATTCTCAATATTTTTTTTTTCGAGGAATCCGAGATTACGGCTGACGAACTGTTGGCCTATATCAAATCATTTAAAAACATGAAGGCCCCAGGTTTCGACAGCATCCTGAATCTGGAACTCAAACGCTTGAGATCCACATTCTACAACCATCTGGCACTGATTTTTAATCTGAGCCTCCGACTTGGCTACTTCCCCTCGTGCTGGAAGCCTGGAAGTCATACCCATCCGGAAACTTGGGAAGGACCGTCCTCTCCTTCAAGTTATCGACCAACTAGCCTTCTCTCAGGTTTATCAAAATGGGCGTTGACGGCACCGTCGAAAAATTTGCTCTTGCACCAAATATAGACAGTTTCTTATGGGAATTTTCGGTGGAGTGAAAGGATAGTACCATAGAGGTAACTCTAAGACCACTGGGTCCCGAAGAAAATCATTATTATTTTTGGCTCACTCAGTACCAGAACAACGGTCCCAAGCAGTCCCAAGCTATTTCACTCACCCCTGCATGTTCTGCATGAATCCACACACCCCTGATGTTATCTGTCAAACTTTCATAGCGAATCAAAACAAACATAGTGTAGTAATAGAATTTCAACTAGAATAGGGTACGTTAATCGTTTGCTTGGGACCAATAGGCTACTAAAGTGGTGAGCCAATTTAAAATCGTTAGTTTCGTATTGATTGTTGATAGTACAAAGTCCGCCATGTTTCACGCACAGTCTGACGTTTGCTTATGGATTTTCTCATAGGAGTAAAGAGCTACAACAGACTTGTTCCGTCGGTGAATAATAAGATCTGCCTGAACGGCACAGTGGTGGAATGGTCGAAAGAGGTTGCTGAAAACGCAACCAACCTTCATCAGATTCCCAATATTTTTTACGAGGAATCCGAATCCGAGATTACGGCTGACGAACTGTTGGCCTATATTTGATTTTTGATTTTGATTTTGCGAGACAGAAGGGGGTCTTATGAAGGCCAGATCTCAAGTCTCAAGGCCAGATTCCAGAACTTGAGTGGAACATGGTTCTCACGTCAGACTATAATGTCTAAAATGAACCACATGCCCCAACCAACCCCTAGAACGGCTCCCATACACTCTCCATGCTGAATCGTGAGTCCCCCCTTTTCCCATATCATTACATGCAAAATAATAACCCGATGCAGGTCAATTGAATATGCCTAATTGAATTAGTTGCAATGATAGTGTTAACAGTAATGACAGTATAATATAGTAATTTAATAAAATGAATATTTACCTGTTAATAATGATCGAGGTTGGTGAAAATATTTAAAATAAATAAATTCATTCTTACCTTTTTATGGTTGTTTGATTATTAATTGCTATTATTACCTGCTTAGAGTTGGCTCCTTTAAAATACTGTGTATAATTTACCTAATTATTCCTCAGTTCTATCGATTTGTGATAGAACCACGCTCAGCATATTATCCTGTAGTACGACTTGGGCATGCACCATGCAAGTAAGTCATCTCTCGTCAAAATGATGGGATATGGGGTGATGATGAAGGGATATAGAAAACGAATAAAAGAACAGAAAGAAAGGTATTAGTATTGGTTACATTCACCACCCTCCCCCCCCACACACACACACAACGAAAAAGAAACATAGATGCACAGACAAACAGAAATAACACATTTAATATTTTTCTCCACAAAACATAGTCACTAAAACGCTAGCGCCATCTGTTGAGTATCATGTGATGGATAGTACGCTGAACAGATGGCGCTAGTGTGCAAACGTCAAACGCAAGGGAACCGACCGTGTGCGCCACAGGTGGCGGCACCACCAACCAAAAACACCCGAATTGACCGTCGTCAAATGCGTATTCGATGAACAACCTGTCCAACCGAGTGTTATGTCTGTTTGTCTGTGATAGATGGGTTATTAGGAAAGTACAACTACATTATAACTATTAGTGCAATGGATGAACGTTAGTTTCGGGGTCATGTTAGTGTTAGAGTTTTGTTAGTATTGACCCGTATTCAGCCCTGTCGGCCCCTCGAACACTAGTCGCAGGCAGTTGTTGTTAGGAAATGCGACACTGTCACTGCTACTATGTTAGAGGTGTGACCCGTCAAGTTTCGAAGTGCAAAAAAAAAACTGTTAGAACTTTCTTATAAATTAATTTTACACTCAAAGCAAACTATTTACCTTAGCATTACAAAATATTAAAATTATGATAAAACTACAATTTACGGCTCCGTGAAATTAACTCGCATGAACCTTTCAAATCAATGAACTGGAGAAAAACTATAATTTTATCAAATTGCAAAAAAAAAAATCATAGCGACACTTGACAAATCATCATCAAGCCCCTCATCCTTGGACAGGGCTGACGAACTGTTGGCCTATATCAAATCATTTAAAAACATGAAGGCCCCAGGTTTCGACAGCATCCTGAATCTGGAACTCAAACACTTGAGATCCACATTCTACAACCATCTGGCACTGATTTTTAATCTGAGCCTCCGACTTGGCTACTTCCCCTCGTGCTGGTCGTGCTGGAAGTCGGCTAAAGTCATACCCATCTGGAAACCTGGGAAGGACCGTCCTCTCCTTCAAGTTATCGACCAATTAGCCTTCTCTCAGGATTATCAAAATTTTTCGAAAGAGCAGTCTAACACCGGCTGCTAACATCTGCCGAAGAAAACACCTTGTTACTCGAGGTACAGTTTGGTTTTCGGAAAGGTCGTTCGACCATCCACCAGCTGACTCGAGTAACAAACATTCTCAGACGGAACAAGTCTGTTTCGAAAACATCTGCCATGGCGTTGTTGGACGTTGACAATGTCTGGCATGATGGCTTGGTGTTCAAATTGCAGCATTACGGTCTTCCAATCTTCCTAGTGAAGATAATTAACAACTACCCTTCGAACAGGACATTCCGAGCGAGATTCTGAGTTTCTCTGAATGGCATCACATCGGATGCTTTCTACATCGGTGCCGGGGTTCCACAAGGAAGCATCCTTGGCCCTATTATACTCAATCTGTTCACCTCCGATATGCCGGCTCTCCCTGATGGTGGATCGTTGTCTCTACTCACAGATGACACATCCATCGTCTACAAAGGTATGGTCATCGGAGCCAAACTTCAGAGAGGCCTGGACGTCCTGTCTGAATATTTCAGCAGCTAGAAGATCAGTATCAACGCGGCAAAGACCCAGGTCATCATATTTCCACACTCTTAATCTCCCAGACTTGTTCCGTTGGTGATGGAGATCTGCCTGAACGGCACAGTGGTGGAATGGTCAAAGAAGGTAGTCTACCTCGGCTTAACACTAGACAGCAAGCTGATTTTCAGGGAGCACGTGGACAAAAACAAAACCAAGTGTAATATCTTGATAAGATCACTGCATCCACTTATCAACAGGAGGTCTACTCTATCCCTGAAAAATAAGCTTGCTGTCTACAAACAAATCATCCTTCCCTTAATAGAATACGCGATGCCAATCTGGGAGAGTTGCGCCAAATGCCATCATCTTAAACTCCAAAGGATCCAGAACAAGGTCCTTAGGATGGTCCTAAACAGTCCCCTGCGGACTAGAAATTCTTAGATCCACCTCCTAGCTGGAATTCAGACATTAGAAGAACGGAGAGTATTTTTTCATCCTGGAAAGGTTCAGAGACACATGTCTGAGATCAAATCATCAGATCATACGTGATCTAGCACGTTAAGTTAAGTTATGTTCGTAGTTAGGTAGGTTTTCACTTTTTTCAATTCAAACAAAACACACCCTCCAAAGGGGTATTCTGTTAACTAGTTGAAAAACGCAAATATTAAATTAGAAAATCAAATTAATCAAAGATGAAGAGCCAAATAGGCTAATCAATTAAAATGTTGAATCAATGTACTACCATAATCAACAGAAATAAATATAATGTTACTACTTAATACTACTCGTTGAGGCATTCTTGTGACGAATTTCGAAGGTGACGGACCACCACCAGCAGTGGAAGGAAGCAGATCAGTTTGGATGATCTGCGGATATGTTGAGCTTGATTTTTGATCGGGATTTAATCCTTGGATAATACCGGTTGGAGTTTACCACCATAGAAGCCTGTTGGCCAGGACTTTATATAAATGACATTGAAGCCCAACGGGACTGTATTGAAAAGGCACAACAGCTTTTGCAAACAAAAGTTGTAAGGCCCTTTACTCGCCAACCGAAATACGTCTACGCAACCAACAACATCATCGGGCAAGGGAAATTCTCTCATTTCTGTTAGTGATATTAATAGCTAGCAAAAGGAACTTCAGATGCAGGGAAATCTTAATCTAGACGATTAATAATTAACAAAACAGCAACGAAGAGGAGAACCGATCTTAGACTCTTATGATTCTGAGCTGGAAATATGCTAAAACGATAGACAAATAATTCTATATTCTGCTGTAAGTTTGATACACGCTAATAGTCAGTTACTAAGTAACCCCAGTTTTTACGATTTTTCCAATATTGTAAAAGTGGCTCCAACACTCATTTATTCACATGTGCTTCTAGTTACAACAATAATTTCTATTCTTCCTTCGGTGCCGGTCCCATCTTGCACTCCGGGTACTTGTCGGTTAAGAAACTGCGGATCTCTCCCGTCTCAGCGAGCATTCTCAGTCGCACCTTATCTTGATTCCGCATATACTCCCGCTTTTTCAGATAAATTTCGTAGGACCGGTACTTAGTGTAGAACGGAGGGAACTTCTTCTTTTTCAGTTGAATCTTGCCATCCATGCAGAATTGCGTATAGTCAAGGATTTCATTGCTTTCCAATTCATCTTCCGTTCGGCAAGCGGTTGGACTTGCGACCACTTTCGGAAAATTACCATTCTCCGGACGAAACTCAACGACGTGCAATCCCTTGGATTCTGCAATTTGCTGATGATTCCTCTGTTGCAGCAAACCAATGAAGAATGCCTTGACCACATGTTGGACATTAGTTGAGCCCTCGCATTTTGCCCGAAGATCCTTGATTCCTATCACTTCGCAAACGGCCTTGATGGCTCGATGACATTTCAAGCCGTAGCCTTCCGGTTTACGCTCGACGAAAATCTTTGTCGCACCAAAAGCACAATAGAAGTCGTGGAAAACAGTGTGACCATTGCACAGCTCGAAATACATCAATTTCTGACCGGCACGATTTTTTGCCTGTCGTAACGCTGCCTTAATATCGATGGCCTTGCCGAATCCGAATCCTGCCAAACCGTTGCCGTTTCCCGTCACTGTCATTGCTGAAACGCGTCTCTTCCGACCAAGATTGCCCTTCATATTGACAACGGTCTTCAGTTCCAAACATTTGGTGTCGAATCCTTCAAACTCGTCCTCTCCAATTGCATCCGGCGGTCCGATACTACGACCAGGCATTTTAGATCCAGACCACCCTCGCTCAAGGGGACTGAGCTTCATCCGTTTGAAGTTCACCATCTCATCGCGAATCTTCTTGAGCTTGGCTTCCCGCTCCTTATCTTCCGGAAGCTGCTGCTGTTGGACAAGCTCTCGACCTCGAATAATCGGCGCTGACAATCCTGGCCATACAATGTTGGCCTTACCGAAACCAATCACCTGTCCTTTGTTCAAATCCTTAGGAGTTATACGTCCGGAACCCTTGCCTCGTCCTCGCTTTTTGCCGGCATTACTAACCGAAATGATACCCTTCCAAATTTGCTGCGCGGGCACTGAAATAGGAATAACTCGTAAATGCGTGACTACTCGTTTTACAACGATAAAACTTACATTTGTTGAAGAAACTGGTCCCCCTGGAGTTATATAATGTCGGAAGAGTGGGTTGAAGCAGCTTGCGACTAGACGATGACGATTCGCCCGGTTGATGGTTGCTCGCAAAACATGCGCTCGGTGTGGTTGTTGATTTGGACAATGTTCTCGTAATATGGAGAGAGGAGAATCCGCGAATCAGTGATTCACTGTTGTTTGCTACGAGCCGTAGCATTTTGGTGTGCTTTTATTGCTTTTTACACTAGTTTTTCCACAGTTTTTATACAATTTTCATTACAAAACACTACCACCGAAACGTTTTGCGTAAAAAATCAGAAAGTGTTTTGGTCGGTAACTTCGTTGACAGTTCACTGATGGAGAATAGTAGCGTCAAAGACTAGTGGTAAATTTATGAGAGGGATGGCTAAAATTTGTTATGTCGCATAATTTCACATACAGGTGGCGCACATGGTCTGTGAATTTTGCAAAAGGGCGTAATTAAAAATATTTATATTCTTTATCACTGCAAATTTGTTTTACCAAAGACATTATACAGCAGTTTCATGCAATATCTTCTTGAAAAAGCTAAAATCGGACTCAAATAATTCCGATTTAAATGAAAATATTTATATTTTCAACCGGAGGATACATGAATATTCCATGGCTATTGAGACCATTTTTACTCAAGCGGAATATTTTAAAGGCGAATATCGATAAATTATCAGTTGAAAATTAATTATATGATTTGAGTAGTAGCTATACTGAAGATCCGAGAGATGTCGCCCCTTCAGTGGTAGGAAAATCATTTTTGCAGTATGGAGAATATCAGAAAATCCACGATTTGTGACTAAAAATGCTTTCACAGAAGGAAACAAATAAACGAGTGTTTACCTTATTACCATAGTAATGTACTCGTGTACATTGTGCACCTAAAACTGCCCATAAAGACGATAATGAATAAAAACTGAAAATTTTCATGCATTTCCAAATGGTTTCCTAATACCATTCCCATACATTCGAAGTGACTGGCCCTCTGGATGTGGATGATGTCAAAAACAACAAAACATGATTAATTGCCACATGGCGCAACCCGCACTTAGTGTCTAGTGTATGTTTTGCAACGCCAGCGCCATCATGTTGTAAAAGAGGGTTTTTAAGTGGGGAAGTCGCCGTTAGTGGCGCTTAAGTCAAATAGGAATCTTTACACAAGTTTTTAGAGAAATTTTGTTCTAATCTCAACGTCTGTTCTCTGTGCTATGATTGAAAAAAAAAAACTGTAATGCGAATTCAGTTTAATGACCCATTCAACCCAGCATTTTGCCTTCTGTTAGAGAGCGTTTATTGGGCCACGGATATAAATAGATCCAAGTCGAATAATTCCAAATTATAAATTGGCATAAAGAATTATTGTTCTTATTCACATCGTTGTGATTTTGCGCTGTTAAATTAATGTTTTTTTTTTTTTTATCACACAGGCTATCGTTCTTCGTTTTTCTCGTTCTGTAGGCTAGCAAAATTGTACCGGTTGTTAGTGAAAAGTGCAGTTCGTTGCGATAATCGTCTATTTGGAGCATATTTCGTGTTGAGAAAACAGTGAAAAAGTTATCTTGTAGTGTTTACTGTTGTTTTATTGTCGATAGGGTTTTTGATCTAATTTCCGTCCTACTAAGCAAAACCCGCGCTTTACCTCTCTTTTCTGAACGAGTTTAAACAAAACATGGAATATTTTATCAAAAATGACTTGCAAATTTATTCACCTTTCCATACGTACCGTTGGATTTGATAAAGAGTCACAAATTGTTGAGATATTGTCTAAAATCTAACACTGCTTCTTGATTCTAAATTCGTTCTACGAGTTTCAATTCCGTCCTAACGCATTGAAACGCCGTTAGATTTTCTTCGTCCTACGGATAAACGTAGAAAAAGGGGATTCGCTAGGAGCGCTTCTTTTGTTTTGAGAACAATGAGCGTAAATATTCTTATAATGCGCTCTAACAGGATTTATGTTGTAGCTAATGAACTAACGCATCGGAACAAACCCATTATTGATTTGTGCACGGTGAAATCATTGATATTATTGATCTTTTCTGATCGATAGAACGGAAATGGGCGATTACGACGAACTAGCGCTCTACCCTGTCAGACGCTCTGCAGAATCCAACTCCACCTTGCGTACTAGAGCATCTCCACCGCTGTTTCTAAATAAGTTTTGGAAACTCAGTCAGCATGACTTCCGCCTGTGACCAATGCGCTAAACCAGTTAAAGGCGACGAAGAATCCGTCTCCCGCATGGCTGTTTGTGGCAGGATGATTCACCTGAAATGCGGCGGCAAAAAGTTGAACAAAGCATTTTGAATATTGTGGATATTGTTCACACTAGCCCGAACTTATTTTGGATGTGCAACGAGTGCGCGAAGCTGATGAAATGTGCTCGGTTCAAAACTGCTGTTTTGTCGTTTGGTAGTGCGATTAATTCCTCGATTAATTCTACAATCGAGAGACAGGAAATTGCACACACTGAGCTTAGGAAGGAAATGACTAGGACAGCAGATCACTCAGCTGTCGAAATGAATCGCATTGACAACTTCAACACACTTGGGTTCCGGCGATCTTATGCGTCATCCGCCATTAAAACGGCTCCGCGATGAAGGCTCGCTCACCAGTAAACCACTTGTTGGTGGTACTAAAGCAGTAACGGATGACAATGTCTTTACCGAGGTCCTTACTGTCCTTGAACCCACCGAGCTGTTTTGGCTGTACCTTTCTCGTATACATGTACAGTGCGATGATCCGATGATCCGATGCTAGTTAAAAAAGGACCTAAAATCAGCCGTATGAGTTTTATATCGTACAAAGTCGGATTGGCCGGCAAACTACGCGAAGTTGCTCTTACATCGGATAAATGGCCGAAAGGAATTTTGTTTCGTGAATTTGAAGACGGTTCAAAAGCATGTAGATGCCTCATTTGAACAAGCCGGTCATCACGATCTCTCCTGTTCCGGGACCTTCAGAGTTCTCAACTAACATCTCCGAACTAGACCCAAAATGCTGATTCAGAATTGAAGTCCTTGAACCACCTGATCCAGTCGCGCTAGCTGTTTCCCGCCATCAAAGTTGTTCTATTTCCTGCCATCAGCGTCGTTCTGAACCTACGGTTGAGTTCGGTGGTGGGATCTCCCAACCATCGTCTTCAGGCAAGTATGCATACATTAGTTACAGTAATTTTCCTGATCAGCTTCCGTATTCCAGTGCAATGCCTCAAGCATCATCCAGTTGAGAAGCACTTCTGATACTGCTCATTCACAACATCCGCATTACTGTTCGAACAATCCTAATTCATCTCCGGGACGCACAATAGACCGCTCTTTGAAAGCTCCTGCATCCTCCAGCCAAGTCGTGTCGATTCCTGCCAGCGCTCAGCATAGTCGTCCTGAACCTGTGGCTGGATATGAATCAGGAGTCTTCCATCTTGCCTCTACAGGTAAGTACAATCAATATATTGACTATTCACTGCCTGATGCCAATAAAATTTTCAGCAATTCGGACTATCCCAACTAACATTTTCAGCTTTATAAGCCAACTTTTCCAGCGTTGTGCTGTAAAGTAGCTGAAACAAAGCTGCAGATACAACAAAAAGCAGAAGCTAGCAAAATTGTTTTGGAGAGCGTTTACTCAACTTTTTCACAACCATTATTCAATTTGTCAGTCGTATGAATAACATAACCCAATAAACGCTAATGTCACTTCTATGCAAATATTAATCAACTTTCATCTTTAAGCTTCAAAACAAAGCTAATAAAGCGAATATATTACTCATTTGATGACTTCTACACAACCAACCACTCTTGCTGAATAACATAAACATCAATAGTGCTTTTTCAACAACTAAACAACCTGTACTCAACTAGTAAACTGTGTTAGTGCTACTTTGAAAGTTATTTTACAGTCAACTAGGTTTATTTTTAGATTTGTGTAGTTTTACCGCTTTTACTCTGCTCCTTTACAAAGCTGAATTAACAAGTCGAGAAAAGTGGTTCATAAGCACTATTATAAAGCCTCTACTCAGCAATCTTGTTGTAGAAGGGCATGTAAATTTGTTTACGTCAGTTCAAAGTGTTGGCGTAGCGAAGTTGGTAGCGTCAAGGTTTGCCAATACGGTCATCTCGAGTTCGATTTCAGGTTCCGGTGCAGGTTAAATAATTTGGTGGTGTGCCAAAGATATCTAATTAACAAGATATCCCACTAATCAATTCCTCATACAAGGCATATAGTTACCACCCTTATGTGATCGCAGTGCTATCTGTTGAGTGCGCATTGAAACTATTGAGAGTTCCCCGTAAAATTTACCACCAGGGCTCAATAACTGACAGATGTCAACGCGGACGTTGATGATCAGCCGAGGGAAGAGGACGATATCATCTTGCGATAGCAAGATTCTTACTTGTTTGTGATTGCTTCGATTTTCAATCATTACCACTTTAAACGCAACAGAAACACTTGAAAAGACAATCACACATCCAAGCGCGCATCATGATGTGCTTGTAATATGTTTTGCTTTCGAGCAAAAGAGTTTCCAATATACCACCGGTATCAGTAAGATGCAAATCTCTAATAGTAATTGATGATTTGTGGAGCTGTTATTCAACATAATCTTAATAAGCATATAAGTAAACATGGGAAAAACCTCTTCCCTCTCTCTAAAGAATTACTCCACTGCCACTGGAAATGCAACGTATCTACATCATTGCTAAACGTAATAAAATATGCCGTCTTCTTTGGCCAACGCAGCACGCATTCTATTCAAAAAATACGTTTTAATCTCGGTTGGAATAAACATTACCTTCCTATTTTTTTTAACGTATAATGTATTTGACAAAGCCGCCAAATTGAACATTCTAAATTCGCTAATTTCATTTTAATTTCACCCTTCTGTATAATTACGGATTGGTGAAATGGGCTTCAATCTTCATTCGGAGTTTTTCCTTGTGGCCATCAAATTCATCGTCTTGTTCCTCGGCGGACCTAAGATGCATTCGCGCCCTGATTCGCACTTTTTTACGTGCTTTCAAAAACGGGCTAATGCCATTTATTCACACAATATCCGCAAGATCCAGAATGCACAAGATCTCTCCCTCCATGAAACTAAACTTATGTGGTCGATCCGCGTATCTCCCATACAAACTTTCGAGAGATGGTCCACCAATGGCTGCCTTCTCTGCCACGTCCTGTGCCATCTCTCGCATATCTCTCTGAATGAGCAATATTTCTTCCCTGGTCAGCCTTGCTAATGACATGCTGACCAGGTTCGATAACTGCAGTATAGA